GAGGATTGAAAGGCTTTGCTTTTCTGTGCACACAGGCCACTTTTTTTTTTTTAATCTCTTTTGCAGTTTATTCTCTCCTAGTCCGCTGCACTGCTGCAGCTTTCGCAAGTCTAGGAGTGCACATCAGTGTCCTCTCCCACCATTTTTGTTCTGCTAATGGAACTGTCTTCTCTCCCTCGTGAGCTGGGTCTGTGTGTTCAATCTGAATGCTGACAAAAATAAAGAGTGTTTCCTTATTGTTATTAGTCGTGTAGAAGTGCTTCCTGCTGCGATGCCTTTTAGCCACCCCCGTGGCTGTTGTCCTGGGGAAGGAAACAGACTGAGATTTTTGCCTCCTGTGCGCTTTACTCATTGGATTACCGATAAAATTGAAGCTTTCCTAAAAGACTGGGTAGCCTTAAAAATGAATGAATACACGGGATTAAAAACCCATGAGATAATTTATTTTTTCTAATCCTGTTTAGAAGTAACTATTGAAATAAATGGATTTACTGGTAGAATCTAGGTCTCATTGTACATTTACCTTTTGAGTTGTTGAACTCTGAGGATCAGGTAATTAAATTCATGAGCCAGAAAAGAGATGAAAGTAGGTAGTAGGAGATACCATCCTTTAAAAATGTTAAAGTTCCAGAAGGAGTTGAAATTCCTGTATCACCTGGATGAACTTGGCCGTGGCCTTGTGTCTCCTGTTGCCCTGTGTGACAGTGTTGCTTCTGAGGCGTACACACCAAGGAGCGGTTGTGATTTTGTGTCATAAAATAATGCTCCATCACTGTGCTCTTGTTTGTTTGTTTTAATGTAATAGTAAAATAGTAAAACCATACAAAGTTACTTGGGAGAAGGGAGATCTGATCACCTGCTGAAGAGGCAGCTCTCTGCTGTTAAAAGCAGATGGATTTGTGTGTCTTGTCAGGGGGTTCTCCCAACGCACCTGCAAAAGGAGGGTGAGTCTTGTTGAGAAGCTTAAGGTCCCCTCCTTCTTGGTGTCATGTCAAGTGATGTCTGTGTCTCTTGCAGCACAAGGTGTGAGGATAATATACAGCCTACTGCATAAGCATTCTTCTAATTGCAGAAAATGTAACTTGCAAAATGCCAGTGGAGGGGGATCTGTGGGGATTCCTGTGTAGAAATGAAAACTGAAGAGAGTAACGATGGGCCAGGTGTCTGTCTTTCATGAGGATATTCCCCGTGTCACATCTGGTGCCAGCATAACTGCTACCCCTAGATGATAAGGAAGCTTTGCAGTCAGGGGAGAGCCAAGCTGTCAGGTGAGCCTGGGATCAAGAATTACCATGACGGTTTGATGGCATGTGAAGGATGCTGTGAAGCGTGGTGTGGTTCTGACGAGCAGAGGCTCAGTTAGGTTCTCCTGGACACGCTGGGCAAGCGGGACCCGCGTCATGCCGGGGATCGGGTACGAGGAAGTGTTCTGGTCCGTCAAACGTAAAATGGCAAAATCATTTGTAATCTCTCATTACTAATCCCTGTGGTTTTTGCATCTGTGCCTCCCTTGTGGCATTACTCAACAGCTGATTGCTTTCTTTTCTTGCCAGCTACTTAAAAATGAAGTATACTATTAATGTTTTTAGGAGGCAACTGAAATCTTTTACTTAGTACTTCATAGGAAAGAAAAATACGTCAGATCTTAAATATGGTTACCAATGACTAAGAAGCCTGTACTAATTATTTGCATCTGATTGCAACTTACCACAGGTGGGTGCAGCCAAAGTCTATTATAGACACTTCTTCCTACATATGAGGTGGTTTCTCCCAGTAAGTAGTCAGCTCAAGAAGATGTTGCAGAAGGCACGTAACTACATGCACATTTTTTTTTCCTCTAAATTATTTAGAAGTTGAGAGCAACTCTATTTAACTCTTATCTATGCAAAACAGGGCACTAGTAGGAGTGAAATATCCCGATCTGATATCCCTTGATAGGATGCTACCTACCTACAGTTCAGGCTTTGTCTTTCCTGCACACATTTAAAGTTTGCTGGCGGTAAACAGCTATTCATCAGCCCTCTCAGGGGATTCACAGCACATCAACTCCATTTTGTCTGCACTGCAACACAGCGTAGTGCAAACATCGGATGACCTTCCTTGTGATCTCATCTAAACCTGAATCTGTGCCATAAAGCTGTTTTGTCTTACTGGTGTTGTTCTGAACACGTCCTCTTTCCTCTTGGCTTTCTGGCAAGGCTTGAACCTCCTCAGTGACTCTCGGTTTGCCTAGTCGGGGCACAGTATTCTCATTGAATATGCAGTACAGGGTCATGTTTTAAATGTCTGAAACCTAAATCTGTAATCCAGGTGTTCTTCCAGTCATGCCCTCTCTTCTCCCTGATTTATTCATTTCGTACGAAAATATTTATTGTATTAAAGAAGTACTTGACCATCTTTTTTGTCCACATGCTGCATAATGGGGAAGGTTTCTGAAAAGTTTTCTTACAAGTGGATTCCCATGTGGTGCCTGTTAGTCACAGCTAATTACAGAGGCTGGTGAATGAAGAATATATTGGAGTTTGGGTTCCCCTCCTCCTCCTCCCCCAGTGCTTCAGAAGAAAATAAAATAAAAAAACCAGCAGACAAGTGCAGGTTTTTCTGTGGCTGTAGCCTCCAAAGAGCTCCAGAGAGATCACAGATGTGGTTTCACATTTCAGGTTTAACTATGGTGTAGTAACTACAGTATTATCTGCAGGAGAAATGCAAGTGGGGAAAGAATCATTAATTGACAGTGAAAAGTTCAACCTCTGCGCTGTGTGTTTGGTTTTTTTAAGCAGCTGAATGTTTAGCCAAACCGTATTTTAACTTTTAACTGCAGCCCTGAACGTTACAATAATCTTGATACGTTAAAACCTAGGAGCATTGTAGGAAAGGAAATTTAGATATGTGTTTCAGAAAGGTCAATCATGGAAAAGCAGAAACACTTGTGATTTAGTTGAAGCTAAGACACATGCTTCGGTTTGAATTGTTACATACAAACCTCCTGTGAAGTGTGCTGACCTTACTTTACAACATATGAACCCCTTTAAGTGTTTCAGTGGGTGCAGAGTAAGCCAGCAGTGAGAGGTGAAGTCTCATTGCTGTGCACATGAGGAACCCATAGCTCACATAAAATGTTTAACTGCCATCTAATTTTCCTATCTTTTGTTAGCGTTCATCCAGCAAGTCTGCTAGGTTGAACGAGTTCCTGTGTGTGTGTAGTATAAGTATTAGTTCAGTAGGACTACATGGGATACATCTATTATTTGTTACTAAGGCACCAGTGACCTTCCTGCTCCTGCATTAGCAGTACCTGCTGTTGTCCCATACTGCCGACTGACAGGAATTCCGACCATACATCTAACTGGGTATAGTCTTCATTGGTCAAATGACTGTCTCTGGAAAACAAAACACTTCCATTACAAAAAAAATAAAAATTAGAGAAGTAATCTCAGCAGGGAAATTCCACTTAAACACATATTTGAGGCTGAAAAATGCATAATTTAGAGGGTGCAGGAGGCAGATTACATAATGAAATGATGTAGGACTCTTAATGATCTCTGTTTAACAGGTATGGTTTTCTTTAAGGTTGGTCAGTGGTTGGTCCTGCCCCCCCCCCTTTTATTTTTTATTTTCAGAACTGCAGTACCCAGAAGACTGCAGGAG